GCCGCAGGCGCTGTCTGCACCCGCACTTCGCGAGGGACGCGCCCCCTGCGTTTGCGCCTGAATTTATAAGCGAAGCCCGAGGCGCACACGGGCGGGGCCTGCCGCGGGCTGTTTCCCCGGCACCTGGGCTTTGGCGTGGAAATCTCAGGACGGCCTCGTCGGGAGAAAAGTTCCCACGCTATTCTTTCATTGAATTCTTCATTGTCAGTCTTGGCAGAGTTTATAATAAGAAACGTATTTCTTTGGCCTTTGCCCCGGTTCCTGGCACGGAGCCCCTAAAGCCTTCCGAGTGATAGGAGCGTTTTTTATTTCGTTAGGAACCCCTTTGAGCACGCCGAAGTTTATGCTCATGCGTGACCGGGTGGGTCTGGTCACCAGAAAACCCCAGAGGTTAGAGGGCTGGAACATGAAACTCCCCCTCCCCCACTTTGGGAAGTAGGGTGGCGGCGGGTGGGGTGCTGGTGATTGAACTCTGAGAAGTCTTGGGCAGCGGAGGTTTGATGAGCTTCCTGGTTGGTGAACTGGTGGAGGTGCTAGAAGGTAGCTCACCTGGAAAGGGCCGGGAGACGCCTGGCCTCTCCCCCATACCTTACCCTATGCATCTCTCCCATCTGGCTCTTCTGAATTGTATCCTTTTATGATAAATTATCCTTTTATGGTAAATGTCCCCCTGAGTTCTGTGAGTTCTTCTTACAAATTACGGAGTCTGAAAACGGGGTTAGGAGAACCCTGCTTCATAGCAGGTGGGTCAGAAGTACAGGTAGATAATGTCATTGAATTAAGTTTATAGGACTTAAACTCCCCTCCCCCAATCTGATGTTAGAAGTATCTAGACTAGAGGAGAAAAATAGTTTCCCCTTACAAATTTCTACAATATATTAAAGTTTAACACAATGTTAAGTACTTGATGTGTTGAAATTAAACTTACTACCTCAGAGCCCAGATTTTTAAATAGTTCTTTAATGTGGATCCAAAGACTTTTTTTTTAAATATATTTTATTGATTCTTTATAGAGAGGAAGGGAGAGAGACAGAGAGTCAGAAACATCGATGAGAGAGAAACATCGACCAGCCGCCTCCTGCACATCCCCCACTAGGGATGTGCCCGCAACCCAGGTACATGCCCTTGACCGGAATCGAACCCGGGACCTTTCAGTCCGCAGGCCGACGCTCTATCCACTGAGCCAAACCGGTTTCGGCCCAAAGACCTTTTTTAAAAGTATTTTTTTATTGATTTCCGAGAGGGAGAGAGAGGTAGAAACATTAATGATGAGAGAGAATCATTGATTGGCTGGCTGCCTCCTGCACACCCCATTCTGGGGCTCGAGCCCTTTTTTTTTATGGTTTGTTTGTTTTTTAATTTCAGAGATGAAGGGAGAGGTAGAGAGAGAGAGATAGAAACATCAATAATGAGAGAATCATTGATTGGCTGCCTCCTGCATGAACCCCACTGGGGATTGAGCCCTTGCCCTGACTGGGAATCAAACCGTGACCTCCTAGTTCATAGGGCGATGCCCAACCACTGAGCCACGCCGGCCGAGCCAGAGACCTTTGTAATGGCTAGAACCGCCTGTGTGCTTGTGTTGTTAGGTTAACCCAGATCTTTGTCCTGCCAACCCCTCAGGTCCAGTGCACGTGCCAACATTACTCTGTCTGGGAAGAAGCGCAGAAAACTCCTGCAGCAGATCCGGCTTGCCCAGAAAGAGAAAGCAGCCATGGAAGGTGAGGCTGGGCCCAGAGGCGGGGTCGGGGGCAGCCTGGCTCCACTTGGGTTCTTTAATGCAGCTTCTTTCTCTGTGTTCAGTGGAAGCCCCTGCAAAGCCAGCCGGGACTAGTGGCCCACAGCCTAAATCAAAAAAGAAGACGAAGCCCCCCCAGGATGTAGACATGGAGGACCTTGAAGATGGGAGCTAAGTCTTACCCCTTTGTTCACAAGGTTCTCACCGGGAGCCAGGCGGACTCAGGGCTTGTTCCAGAAGTCTTTGGGGAAGACATTGCACCTTTTCACTCTCCCCAGACTCCTCTTCCATAACGGCCTAGTGGCCTGCCTGGAGGGACGTGTTGTCATACCTCCTTACCCCACCTTCAAAGTAGAATCTTAAACCTCTTGGATGCTTTCTCAAAAGAATTTGGAGGACTGGAGAGGCGGCGCCTTAGCAGGCAACTCCATTCGCAATAAAGCCCATATTCTCGCTGAGACGTGTGTGACTGCGTGCAGGGCTGCGGGTGGACCGTGAGACGGGCTCTGTGAGGGGAAAGGCAGCGGTGACACAGGACCCACAGGGTGTGCTTGAGCAAAGGCATCGAGGACCCAGCCTCCGTGACAGCTAGTCTCTCGAGTGAGTGACACTCCAACGTTTACTTCTGAACAAAAGATAGCTTGCTGTAGCGATGGCCGAGGAGGTCAGGGTCCTGAAACCAGCCATGCCACTGCTCTGTGTTACCGGGTGGGCAAATCGCTTTGTCATGTTTGTCGCTGCTTCCTTTTGCTGGATTACATTTTTAATAAAGTGAAGACCAGACATTGTTCTCCCTATTTATTAATTTATGAGAGGAAAGGAGAGAGAGAGAAACGGTGATCAGTTGTCTCCTGTACGCACCTGGACACAGAATCGAAGCCAACTCCTTTCACCACAAGATTCTCTTGCCGTGATTCCCTTGTGACGGGACAGACACTCCAACCAACGGAGTTACTCCTGCCAGGCATCATTTTCCCCATTTAACTGTCAAAAACGCTGCTAGAAGCCAGGGCTGGGGTGTTTAATGAACATGAAAAGCTGCCCAACCCTGACCGGTTTGGCTCAGTGGATGGAGCTTCGGCCGGGTCCCGGGTTTGGTTCTGGTCCGGGGCATGTACCTTGGTTGCAGGCGCGTCCCTGGTGGGGGGTGTGTGAGACGCAGCGGATTGGTGTTTCTCTCTCATCAATGTTTCAAACTCTCTATCCCTCTCCCTTTCTCTCTGTAAAAAATCAATAAAATACATTTTTTTAAAAAGCTGCCTGTGTGGAGAAATATATTTAATCAGGGAAGGCTTCCTGGAAGAGGGAGACTTTGTGGTCAGTGTTGCACCTCTTCCCCTACTTTATATTTTTAACAATATCAAACTTTCACTGAAGCTAAAAGATTAGTACAATGAACCCTTATATATGGACTCTGTCTGGATTTACGATTTTTTTAACATTTTGCTCTACTTGTTTAATCTCTACACATTTGCAAATATGTATGTATATGGGTCTCTGTTCTTTGCTGACTCATTTGAAAGTCAATTGCAAATGACATCCATCCCTAATTTTGCTATATATAAAAAAACCTTGTTCATCTTTAGAGAAAGGAAAGGAGAGGGAGAAACATCGATGTGTGAGAGAAACTTACATTGGCTGCCTCCTGCACACCCGCACTGGGGATAGAGCCCACAACCTGGGCATGTGCCCTGATTGGGAATCCAACCAAA